CGGGAAATCACGGGCGACCGCCTGCCATAAATAATGAAGGCTCCCTCAGGGCTCTGGACTTGTAATCTGATGGTCCTGTGTTAGAACCCCCCACCCTGTTACTCACTGGATTTGTTCTTTGTTTCCTTGCATTCAACTCCTTGGCTGCTTTTTGTTTATAGCTAACTAGTCTGCCTCTTGCCGACTGGGATTTTGAAACAGTGCATTTACTCATTTATTAATTTGTCCATCCATTTACTTGTATTCATTCATTTGTTTTGTTCTTGAAAAGCCCCATTGGGAGAGTGGTCAATAGGCCATTTTATAGTTGTGCACTTAGTTGTCAAGCCCCTTTAATTTGGAGTGAGGTTGAGAGTGACCTTGTCATGATGGAGACCACTATCTAGTAAGCATGATAACAAAGTGAGTTACATTTGAAAGGCAGCAAGGTTTGTATCTTAACAACATCACCCCTAGCCTCTCTCCCATTCAAAGGCTTGGCAACCAAGGACACAACTGAAAAATGGACTATGAAGTATACATGCTTATATGTACATCAGGGCTTGGAGACTAATGGTAGCCAACTAGCCACAGACTAGTAGAAATTCAATTTTGGCGAGTGGTTTTCAATTTTCATCAGCCAGTTTGGCTAGTATACAAACTGAAATTGTTGTAACATCTAAGTTGTCAGAAGCCACTTGGCTAGTAAGTTGAAAAGTTAGTGTTGAGCTCTGTACATAGTCTTGGATTCCCTTGTGAAACAGAGCCAAGTAGGTCTTTGTTACCCGCACCTTCTCAATTGTAGCTGTAGTAGGTGATCATAGTGTAGGGTTTTGTTCATGAGTACTTACAGTCTAATCTTTTTTCCAGCTCTGTTTTGAGAGAGGAGATATTCTGGAAGTCACTAAGGTTGGTAATTAGACAGACAGTCATTGATCCAAAAAAAAAAAAAAAATTTGTACATTAAGTTTTAAACCTGATGATACCTTACCTTTTTAAGTGCTGTTGTTTGATGTTGAGGCAAGAGGCTGGATTGTGGAACATTGGCTATCTACTCAGTGATTTGCAGTCACTGTGGTTTCTGACCCTCAGTACCTCATCGTCAGTTTAGTAGCACTTTCAAAACTTACCTACAATCCACTGTATTTTCCCTTGTCTTTTTTCAAATTCCAATGTCATGCAATTGAAGTCTGGCATGTCTCAAGATTTTGATGATTTTTTCCTTTTTTTCTTCTTCTTCTTTTGTCCCACACTTGTGACAAACAAAGAACATTCTTTCTGTTGTGGCAGGTGTAGTGGCATCATTAGTGCACTGAACTCCAGTTTGAGAGTTAGGAGACCTGGCCGGATCAATTTGTTGAATGTAAATATAAATGGGTTGCAGCAAATTGTCAGGGAAGCTGATGAAATGCTGGCAGTTAACCCTGCAATAGTCCATTTTACAGTTGTGTGCTTGGTTGCTAAGCCTTTGAACAAGAGTGAGGCTAAGGGTACAAATGTTGCTGCTTTTACATTACTTTGTTATAATGCTAACTAGATACTGGTCTCCATCACAACAAGGTCACCTTTGGCCTCACTCCAAATCAAAGGCTTGGCAACTAAGTACACAACAGTACTGAAAAATGACCTATTGACT